AAAAAAGACCTTACCTTACTGACCTTCTACAGTCTTTTTTTTGGTTAGAGGAGGAGGATGGGTGGGAGGCACTACACGTGTAGTATTTTGGGTTTGGACAATGCCCAAATAGAATAGTTCACTTCCCAGCTCGCGCTGTCACCACTCCCGCTGCTCAAATCAAGAAGGCCGCTGACTCATGAGGTAAGTTTTTATAAGGAAAACCTTACCTTCCCGGCTGCCCCCTGGCTTGCGCTCTCACCACTCCCGCTGCTCAAATCAAGAAGGTCTAATCAAATCAAACCTGAGTTTAGGAAGAGTGGAAGACAACGATGTGTTGGAATAGTCTTATCTAGAGATAACAACAAAGGCACGGTGTGGGAGAAATGGGTTTGATTTCAGGGACTTTGGCACCAGTACCAGAGAAGGAGGGAGCTGTTCCGATGGTTCGAGCTCCACCTGGATTGTGCTGGGACCAGAGTCCTGGCTAATCGTATAACTAGGGCTATGGATAGGACTTTGAACAAAGTAGTGTGGGTGCAGTTGCATGGAAATTTATAGAACAAGTTAAAACGGGAGAGGGTTAAGCAGATGTTATTAAAGTTTACAGAACAAATAATAGGACAGAAAGTATGGAAAGGTCAGGAATCTAACTTCAGGCACAGCAGATGAGAGGACAGCTATGAGAAGGGGGCAGTCAATGCAGGACTTGTACTTAAATGTACGTAGTATACAAAACAAGGTAAATGAACTACTAGCGCAGATTGTAACTTGTAGGTACAATGTTGTGGGTATCACAGAGATGTGGCTGTAAGGGCTGGGAACCACATCGTATCAAAAAGATGGGCAGATGGGCAAGGTTGCTTTGTTCATAAGAAATGAAATTAAATTGTTGCAAGAAGTGATATAGAGTCAGCAGGCATAGCATCTGTGTGGATAAAGTTGAGGAATCGCAAAGAAAACATCCCTGATGGGAGTTGTGTACAGCCTTCTAATAGTAGTCACGATGTGGGGAAGAAATTAGATTTGGAGATAGAAAGGCAGTATTACAAATCATGACTTCAATAATCAAGTGGACTGGGAAAATCAGGTTGGTTGCGGATCTCAAGAAAAGAAATTTGTGGAATGTCTGAGATTTTTTTGGAGCAGCTTGTGGTAGGACCTATTAGGGAACAGGCAATTCTGGATTTGGTGATGGGTAATGAGGCAGACTTGATTAGGGACCTTAAGGTGAAGGAACCTCTGAGGGGACAGTGACCCTAATATGATAGAATTCACCCTGCTGTTTGAGAGGGAGAGCTGGAATCAGATCTCACGGTATTACAATTAAGTAAAGGTTAACTACAAAGACATAAAGGAGGATCTGGCCAAAGTTAATGGAATGGGAAGCCTAGCAGGGAAGACAGTGGAGCATCAATGGCAGGAGTTCTGGTTGTAATTCAGGAGGTATACTAAGGGGAGGACAAGGCAACCATGCCTCACAAGGGAAGTCAGAGACAACATAAAAGCAAAAGAAAAAGCATACAATGTGGTGAAGATTAGTGCGAAGCCAGAGCATTGGGAAGCCTTCAAAGACTAGCAGAAGATAGCTAAAAAAGCAATAAGGGAGGAGAAGATGACAAATGAGAGTAAGCTAGCTAGTAATATAAAAGATTTGGAAGCGGTTTTTTAATATGTCTAAAAGGTAAGAGAGAGGCAAGAGTGGACTTTAGACTGCTGGAAAGTGAGGCTGGAGAAACAGAAATGGAGAACAAAGAAATGGTGGAGGAATTGAATAGATATTTTGCATCAGTTTTAATGGTGGGAGACACCAGTAGCATATCAGAACTTCAAGACAGACAGGAGTGAAGGTGAGTGTAGTGGCCATCACTAAGGCGAAGATGCTGGGGAATTTGAAAGGCCTGAAGGTGGATAAATCACCTGGACCAAATGGACCACACCCCAGAGTTATGAAGGAGTTAGCTGAGGAGATTGTAAAGGCATTGATGGTGATCTTTCAGGAATCGGTGGATGCAGGGAGGGACCCAAAGGACTGGAAGATGGCGAATATACCATACTTGTTTAAGAAGGGATGGAGGGAGGCAGCAGACTGGAAACTATAGGCTGGTCAGCTTGATCTTGGTCATTGGTAAGATTTTAGAGTCCTTATTAAGGATGAGATTGCAGAGTACTTGGAAGTGCATGGTAATTTAGGGCTGAGTCAGCATGGTTTTGTCAAAGGGAGGTCATACCTGACAATCTGTTAGAATTCTTTGAAGAGTTAACGAGCAAGTCAGACAAAGGAGAGCCAATGGATATGATCTGTTTGGATTTCCAGAAGGCCTTTGACAAGGTGTGGCATAGGAGGCTGCTAAATAAGCTAAGAGCCCAAGGTGTTTCAGGCAAGGTTTTGGCATGGATAGATGATTGGCTGATTGGCAGGAGGCACAGAGTGGGAATAAAGGGGTCTTTTTCAGGGGATGGCAGCTGGTGACAAGTTCCGCAGTGGTCTGCATTGGGACCAATACTATTCATGTTATACATTAACCCTCTGGATGAAAGAAATGAGGGCATTGTTGTAAAGTTTGCAGATGACACAAAAACCGATGGAGAGGCAGGTAATGTTGAGGAAGTGGGGAGGCTGCAGAAGGACTTTGACGGACTAAGGGCACAGGTAGAGAAGCTGTGGACATTAGGAAGGTCTTTCCGCTAGTGGGAGAAGATAGTATCCAAAGCCATAGCCTGAGACTGAAATGACAACCCTTTACAACCGAGATGAGGAGGAATTTCTTGAGCCAGAGGGTGGTTAATCTGTGGATCTCATTGCTGCAGAAGGCTATGGAGTCCAAGTCATTGATGTATTGAAGACACAGATAAATTCTTGATTAGTGAGGGGATCAAGGATTATGGGGAGAAAGCCAGGAGAATGGGGTCGAGAATTGCATCAGCCATGATCAAATGGCAGAACAGACTTGATGGTCCAAATGGTGTTATTCAGCTCCTACGTCTTGTGGTATTTGGTCTTATGAGGGTTTAAGCAGCAATTGAACTAAGGTTGAATTGGAATTATCGAAATTGGTGGTCTTAGTGGTGACAGACATTTGACTGGAAGCTCAGAAGCAAACACTTTAATAAGTAAACCTTAAATACTTGCAGGGAACCAGAAGTGCTGACTCAAGAACAAAATTTGTGGAATGGGCCACACAAGGAACAACCCATTGAAGTCCTCTGCTATCAGCCACCTTATCTCCAACCTTATTTTCCTGACCAATCATGTTATTGCATTGTAAATCCCTACCTTCCCAAATCTTTGCCAGAAATCCACATAAATCTTCTAATCAGGTTTCTGCACCTACCAATGTGCTGAAATGGCTTAATAGTGACAAATGGCATCCTTTGTCACTGTAAAGACAGACTATTCTTCCTTGTCCTTCTTTAAATGAATACAGTCTTGAATGACCACGTGATCATTCTTCAATTTCAGATTTGATGGCAAGAGGATTTTTACTTGAGGAGAACAAAATTTTAAAATTTCAGTGTGCATGGGAGTCAGCAGTGAGTTTGGGTGGTTGGCAGTTTAGTGGGAGTTGATTAAAGGGAGCAGACAGGATTTTATAGAATGAATTTGGAAGGGATAGGAAGCGATATGAAAGAAATTAGGAAAAGATGCCACTTCAGTCTTGGCTGCTTCAAACGAAGGATTGGTCCAGTAGGGTGGGGAAGTGAGAAAAGTTGTAGAGGCAGTTGATCAGCTGGTCTCAATCTTAGGGACAGAAGGTCATATGGTCCTTGCACGTGGTGGAGGTGAGACTAGTGAAGACATGTAAAATGTATAAAGTCGTAAATCAAGCACGATTAGTTATCTTGCAGTGGTTATCACAGGGCCATTTTTCAACAGTGAGTTAACTCGTTCAGGAAGGGAATAAAGAAAACTGAGGAGAGAAATTTTGATTCATTTATTGCAGTCACAAGAGCCTTAGTACAGTGAAAAGCTTTGTTTGTGAGCACTACAGGCAGATCATAGCAAGCAAGGACATACAGATCATAGTGTGCTTAGACAGAATGAGGCATATGGGTTATACTGCACAGGAGGTGTGCATAGCAAGATCAACATTATTTGAAGTTAGAGAGTCCATTCATCAGTCCAATTACAGCAGGGAAGAGGCTGTTCTTGAAACTGTTGGTGCGTGTGTTCAGGCTTTTGTATCTTCTGCCTGATGGAAGAGGTTGTAGGAGAGCATTACCAGAGTGGGACGGGTCTTTGATAATGTTGGTAGCCTTTTGGCGGCAATAAGAAATGGATGGGAGGTTGGCTTCCGTGATGGTCTGGGCTGTGCACACAACCTTCTGTAGTTTCTTAAGGTCCTGGGCAGAGCACCCGTTATGCACCCAGACAGTATGCTTTCTATGTTGCATATATAAAAATTGGTGAGGGTCCTTAGGTGCCTGAGAAAGAAGAGGTGTTGTTGTATCGTCTTGACTGTCACATTTACGTGGGAAGTCCAGGACAGGTTGTTGGTTATCTTCACTCCTAGGAACTTGACACTCTTACCCTCTGACCCTCCACTGTGTTGATGTAGATGGGGACATGTCCTCTTCCTTTCTTCTCATATCATAGAGAATCCCTAGGGTCTGGAAACAGGCCATTTTGGCCCAACAAGTCCACACCAACCCACTAAAGAGCATCCCACCCAGACTCACTCCCCTACCCTATCCTTGTAACCCTGCATTTCCCATGGCCAATCCACCTCATCTGCACATGTTTGGATGAGGGAGGAAACTGGAGCACCCAGAGGAAACCCACGCAGACACGGGGAGGACGTGCAAACTCTACACAGACAGTCACTTGAGGCTTGAATTGAACCCAGGCCCCTGGTGCTATGAGACAGCAGTGCTAACCACTGAGCCACTGCCCGAAGTCAATGATTGAAAATGTAGAAAATTTTAAGAACAGAGCGTATCCAGTAGTGAATGTAAATTATATGTTCTGTAGTTTAATAATAAACAAACTCACTGATGTTTGCAGTTTCTATAATTTCTAGGAAACAAGGTCCAGAAAAGATTTTAAAAAACAGAGGCAAAATGTAAATGAAGTACCTGAGATTGCAACAGGTGAACAATTGCAACAGCCTGATGTATTAAGGAATAATGCAACCAAATATCGTGAGTACTAGTACATTTAATTTCTGTTGGTCTACATTTGACACTTGCAGTTCTCTGCGTTTGATTTCTTCAAAATCATAGAATCATTACAGTGTGGAAACAGGCCCTTTGGCCCAACAAGTCCACACTGACCCTCGGAGCATCCCCCTATAACCCGCGTAATCTACACATCCCTGAACACCACAGGAATTTAGCACGGCCAATCCACCTAACGTGCACACCTTTGGACTGTGGGGGGAAACCGGAGGAAACCCACGCAGACACGGGGAGAATGTGCAAACTCCACACAGACAGTCACCCGAGGGTGGAATTGAACCCGGGTCCCTGGCGCTGTGAGGCAGCAGTGCTAACCACTGAGTCACTGTGCCACCCGCAAATATTCCACATTGGAAAAATAAATAGAATATCAGGAGGGTTTTGGTGTAACATGTTACTCAAAACCTAATCTAACAAACAGTTTGCTTAACAGATATGAATAAATCATCTATGTGGTATGTGCAGTTGTTTAGAAGACTTATCGATATGATTTTAAGGTATATTACGTACAGGAGTAGAGTTCCACCTTGGTTTGTTTCTGATTGTGGAGCAGGTACTTGTGAGATATCATGAAACAAAGAACTATGGATGCTGGAGATTTGAAACAAAAACAGAAATTACTGGTGAAATTCAGCAGATCTGGCAGCATCTACGGGAAGAAAGCGGAGCAATGTTTCAAGTTTGGTGACTGTTCATCAGAACTGTTAGCAGCTAAGAAAATCTGGTATCTGAAGATGAGGTTAGGGAGGGATGGGAAAGGGAGAGGTGAACAGATAGGTGGAGATGAAGTGAGAAAAAGAGAGCAAGAGAGAGAAATGAAAGGGGTAGGTAAACAAGGAGATTGTGGATGGCAGACCAGGACAAAAGAGAAGCTGAATAAGTGATGAGAACTGAAGGTCGCAGAGAATGGGTAGCCTGTGCTGTGCTAAAAGCAAATCGTTTAATGTGATAAAAACCAAAAGAACTGTGGATGCTGCAAATCAGGAACAAAAACAAAGTTGCTGGAAAAGCTCAGCAGGTCCGGCACCATCTGTGAAGGAGAAAACAGAGTTAATGTTTCGGGTCCGGTGACTCTTCCTCAGAACTGGTTTAATGTGATAATAGACCCGAGGGGGAGAGAGGAGAGGAGAGGCGGGGGGAGAGAGGAGAGGAGAGTGACGTTTCAAGTCAGGACCCTTCTTCAGAAATGGGGAGGGGTAGGGGATCTCCAAAAAAAAGAGAGGAGGGGTGGGGCTGAGGAAGGTAGGTGGGATGGTGATAGGCGAGTGCATGTAGGTAGTGGTCGGGATTGGTCAGTGAGGTGGGAGTGGCGGATAGGTGGGAGAGAAGGACAGGTTGTGTCGGGTCAAGGAGGCAGGGATGAGAGGGAGTGTTGGCCATGGGATGAGGTTGGGGGTGGAGAGATTTTGAAACTGGTAAAACCCACTTTTAGGCCATTGGGCTGTAGCTTCCCGAGGCGGAATATGAGGTGCTGCTCCTCCAGTTTGCGGGTGGCGTTATAACATGTCAAAGCAGGACTGTGTTTGGGGGTGGATAAAAAGCATGAAAGAATAGAATCAGTCTCTAATGTTAATGAACTCGATGTTAGGTCCTAGAGGCTGCAGGGTCCTAATCAGAAAATGAAATGCTGTTCTTAAAGCTTGTGCTGAGGCTCACTGGAACTGAGACAAATGTTGGCAGGGGAACACAGTGGTGTGTTGAAATGGTAGGTGACTGGAAGCTCTGGATTATTTTTGACAGAACCTAGGTGTTCTGTAAAGTAGTCACCAGTCTGTGTTTCGTCTCCCAATGTGGAGGAGACCATATTGTGAACAGTTTAAACTGGAGACTAGATTGATTTGAAGTGCAGGTAAATTGCTGCTTCACGTAAGGCCTTGGATAGTGAGCAGGGAGGATGTAAATGTGGAGTTGGAAAAGCACAGCCGGTGAGACGGTATCCGAGGAGCAGGAAAGTCATGTTTTGGGCTGAAACCTTTCTCAGGACTGGGAAGGGGGAGGGGAGCCCAGAAAACATTGACTTTCCTGCTCTTCAGATGCTGTCTGACCAGCTATGCTTTTCCAGCTCCACATTTATTGACTGTAGCTTCCAGCATCTGCAATCTTTACTGTCTCTGGGTAAATGGGTAGTGTTACACCTGCTGCAGTTGCATAGGAGGATGCCATGGGGGTGTGGGGAGGCTTTGGGAATGGATGAGGAGTGGACTGCTGTGTCCTGGATTCAGTATAAATTTAGCTTTTCTTAGCTGCTATCAATTTTAATGAAGAATCATGAGGCTTGAAACTTTAATTCTGCTTTCTTCCCATTGATGCTGCCAGACCCACTGAGTTTCACCAACAATTTCTGTTTTTATTACTGTAGAGAGATTGCTCTGAAGCTCACTGGTTCCAGGTGAACATGCAGCTTTGGTCTGGGAATAGAGTGGGAGCACTAATAGCTGACCAAATAGAGACATTTCAAAGAGTTATGGGAAACTATTAGTTCTTTGTCATTGTTGGACCCTGCTGCTTTATTCTGTCCTAGGGCTCCTATGTTTATTAGATAACAAGATGTAGAGCTGGATGAACACAGCAGGCCAAGCAGCATCAGAGGAGCAGGAAGGCTGACGTTTCGGGCCTAGACCTTTCTTCAGAAGATTTTCTGAAGTGTTCATCCAGCTCTACACTTTGTTATCCCAGCCAATGGGTGGTGGGGTTTATATTTCACTTCGGGACTCTGTATTGCTGTAGCAACAAGCACTTCCACCAGCAGGTTGAAGCCTGGAGCTATGGATAGTGATGGTAAAGGCTCCAACATTCCTTCCATCACACAGCTGACCAGGAATCTCTCCCACTTTTACTGCCTGCTCTTGGTACACGTTGGAAGGATTTGCAGATTGCTGCTGTGCGTGTCTGGCCACGTTATCAACATATCTTTCTTGACCATCAAGTCCTGGAGATGGGATTTGGACTGAGAGCTTTTGGTTCAAGGCAGGGATACTACCCACTATGGCAAAAGAACTTCTGGTTAAGTGTGTCCAATCTTAAGGAGCACCAATTATATAAATTGATTGCCCAGAGAGTGTTTGTGTCTCATTCCACGTCAGCTGCAAAAGCAGGAACTGTTACATAAATGAGCAAATGCGCAAATCCCTACAGGCATTGTTCTGCACTGTAACACTCAGTGTCGCTGGAGCACTTGCAAGAGAGCGCTTCCTATCAACTACAATTATGTAACAACTTTAATGTAGTGGAACATCACAAGGCTCTCCACAGGAACGATTATCAAACAAGATTTGACACTGAGCCACGTAACAAAACATGAATACAGACGACCAAGCGGTTGACAAGTTTGGTTTTAGGGAATCTCTTCAAGCAGAAGGGAGAGGTGAAGGGTGGAGAGGATTAGGGAGCTTAGATTGAGAAAAGCACTAATAGGATGGATAGACACCCTCTTTCAAGTAGGAAGTGACGAAGATAGGCCAGAAGTGGTAGAAGAGGCAAAAAAACAGAAGGAAATGGACGAATAGAAACATTGAAACAGGAGCAGGAGTAGGCCATTCGGCCCTTTGAGCCTGCTCCGCCATTC